TGGGGGGCGGCTGGTTTTGGTACCGGTCGCCTACCTGTTGCCTCGTTAATGGAGGTGCGTGCGGTATTTGGATGGGACGGGAATTTCAAGCGGAGCTATAGCGATTTAGGTGCTTGTTTTTTGGAAATATGGTTCGCGCGTGCGAACGCCAATGACACTTGTCGTCGGCTGCTCCTCCGACCGTACTCGAAGCTCTCGTCACCGTATGCGTCCTGCAGATTTGAAACTCGAAGGCCCGAAGGGCAAAAGGGGTGGGGGGAATGGGGGCCTTTTCTGCGTGCGCGATCAGGAGAACAAATTGGAGGGGGCGAGCTGCCCCCCGCGTTCCGCTGCTAGAGGGTTTCGCGCTACTGCTGTACGGCCGCGACGACTTAGGTTGTCGCTCTCTCGCTGGATCCATCTGCTTCTTTCCGTTTACTATGTAGTGCGCGTCTGTTTGGTAGGAAGCATTGGTTGTGAAGGTAGTTGGCTGCGCAAAGCTAGAATCGCGGCTAGTATTTCTCGTGCCGGAGCCCCTGCCCACTGGTAGTTTTTTTTCTTTTTTGTCGCCCCATCCGCCGGCAATCTTCAAGTATCCCTGCATACCCCAGTGTCCCTGTCTATAGATTCGCAGACAGAACTGGGTGGGCTCGCCAAGAGCTACGGTATTTATTCGTTTTTTTTTTGCAAGGGTCATAGGTTTGTACGGGGATGATGCGAGCAGCGTGAAATTCCTTTAGTTTCAGCACGCTAGAGGTATAGGTATTCTAATGAGTACCTCGTTGTGGGAGGGGCGGGTGCCAGGCGGAGGGGGAGGGAGATCCGGCGACGAGATTCAAAGAGAGATTTGGGGGGGCGGTCCGTAATCACAGGCGTGGTTGTAAGAGCAAGGAGGGTACATTATCGCAGGGCTTAGGGCGTAGCGCACGGGATAAGGGTTCAGGCTGCTGCCGAAAGGGGCTGCGGCTACTGCTGCGGCCCGGACGCTTGGGGTGGATAGGTAGTGATGTCGCAGCAGTCCATATATATTCTTCAGAGTTTTGCGGCGCAGCTTTCGCTTGTGGCGATGGTGGTGCCTGCCTGCTCCCTACTCCTCCACCAGGGTCCCAACCTTTCACACATAACCCCGCGTATGCGGATGATCATTTGCAGTGGCACGGACGGATTTTTTTTTGCGTGTTTTTGTCTGAGTGAGGTGAAGTGTTTTTTGTGATGGCGAAGACGGCGGTGGGTCTTGATCCTCTTCCGTAGGGGGGGGCGGGGGACGCAGCGGTTCTCGCGCGTACATACAATTTGGGATACGGCCCCACTGTTTTTGTGGTGTGGGCTCTGCTTGCTTGCGCGACTGGCGTGCTTTTCTTTCGAGGCCCCGGTTGGGTGGTGGGGTTAGCGGTGGGGGGGGGGGCGTTGGTTGATCTCTGGGGTGAATCGGCTGCCGTTCAGATGCGGCCATTGTCTGGCGGGGGAGCTTGTCGGCCGGGCGTAGTTGGTTGTGGGCGGCGACGGGAAGGAGCATCGAGGCGGAAGGGGCGTTGCATATTTTGGCGTTGCGTGGCATTCGTTGATTGGCTCGGCGGGGACTATTATTTAGAAACATTTTTTTACTCCTTTTAGAATGCTGATCGGCGGCGAGAATGGGGTTCGGCGCGTGGCTGGGGGGAGCACACACCGGCTTGGCGCATGTTTTAGAGTGCCATTCATGCTGTCGGCGATCGACAATGTGTGTATGCCCCCCCCTTCCCCCCCTGGCTTCGGTTCTCTTCAGTTTTTGTCTTTCCAGGAAACGGCGAAAGGAGAGGGGAGCGAAGAGAGTGCTTTCTGCGGAGGGGGAAATGCTGTTTGGTTTTTTTGGTTTTGAGATTCAGGGGGGAGGGGGGTGGGTAGTGGACGGAGGAGGTATGTCCATTGGGGTGTGGGTGTTCGTTTTGCGAAACAAGGGTTCTTGTGGATACGGGCATGTAATAACATACTTATGTCCAGTGTTGATCGTGTTTTATTTTGCGCTTGGTTGTTCACGCGTGCCGCACAAGTATTTGTGGTCCTGTATGCATTTTGTGCGTTTGCGGAGCAGGGAGAGGGGGCCGAGAGCGGGAGGGGAAGGAGGAGGAGGGGGGGGAGGGGGGGGGGAGGGGGCACGGGCACAGTATTATAGCTGTATATGGGCCCTTCTGTGAGACAAGATGGCAGAGCGCTATGGCAGAGAGAGAGCGAGAGTGCTGGGGTCGCGACGGGCAGGCGAGAACTAGCGGAAGGACAACTGGCGGGCAAGAGTATGACGGGGAGGGGGGGGGGGGGGGGGGGGGCGAAATTATTGGGCCGTGGGATGCTGACGGACGTGGTGCGTAGCACTCGTCGCGATCCGGGAAACGAACGAGCTCAGATATTGTGAAGTATGATACGCATATGTGATATTTAGGAGTTTTTTTTTTTCTTTTTCTACGGGGTGGGTGTGGGGGGCTAGCGGGTTGGTGCGCATATTTGAAGACCACCCGCCGGTTTGCTGTTGTTGCTGTTTCGTGTGTGTTAGAACAAACAACTTGCTCTCTTGCTGTCGTGATTGATGTAGACTACACCATCGTTTTATTTTCACTATGCTTGTCTTGTCTCTGTTTTGTGTGCTTTTTTCGGTAGTCGAGGAGGAGGCAAGGGGTGTTTTTTGGTGGAGGCGATTCTGCCTGTCGGTTACCATCCAAACAGGGGTGTCGGCGATGGCTTGTATGCATGCGTATCAGCAGCGTGGTTCTGTTGAAGCGCCTTTACAAGCGTTTGCGCGATTAAAAGCCACGTGGGCCTGTCTGTCCGTCTGGAGGGAAGGACAGGTGGGGTTTTGATTGTGGACAAAACGAGTATGTGATAAGGGGGGAGAATGGTGGCGGTATTGGTACAACAGACAACGAACGACAGAAATACTGAAAAAAAAGCTTGTTCGCCCTTTGGAGAACCATTCTTTTTTGGGACGACTACTCGATTCACGCGACGAGCGCCGCAAAAAAACAAAAAAGAAACACAGCATCAGCGCCAGTGGCGAGGAAAACAAGGCACTGTACGCTGCTGTTGTTGTGTACGTTGTGGGACATGTGTATGATGTCAATGTCATGCCAATGTCAGAAGAGGGAGAGCCAGAGAGAGATTCAGGTTCGGGTTTGTAGGATGGCATGAAAATCTTGTTCAGGCCGTGTACCTTAGACCGCCTGCACCTTGTTGTGGAACATTGTTCGCAGCATCGCGTGACTGCATCCAAGGAACTCCTCCGAAACAAACAATGACACCTTGGGTGCCGCAGCAACAAAATACAGAGGATTTGCTGAAGCCGCTCTGTACACACGACGAGCGTTGAATGCAAGTTGTGCGCCCATGTTTCGACACCGAGTTCTTCCAAGACAGAGGGGGAGCAAAAAGAGCAAGGTGGGCTTCGAACTCCGAACTGGCCGACAGGATCGACCTCATGCAGGTGTGTCAGATAGCCACCCCTACGGTATTCGATGCCGGTAAGACAAAAAGAACATCCAAGCTGTCGGATATTGCAGTCCTGCAAGCAACACCGCCGTCGGAGTACCGCCGGGGGAGAGCCCCACCCGACATGACTCGAGCGGGAACCAGTGCAAAAGGCCCCACGCACCTGACAAGTGAATAAAAAGTACTTCTACAAGACATTCAACCGGTGGACTGTGGAGCATGTTAAGAGAGCTGGTCGGCTCCTAATCTGACCGGCTCGGTCTAGAAATCTAAGCAGCAGCGTTCTCCTCACCGCACACAGATGAAACGCACCGGACGCAAGTTTCGTACTGAAGAAAACGTCAAAATCATATGGATTGTACAGCACAAATGAATACTCTTTCCTCAAACCCGTCATGACCTCTCTCTGCCTTTCGCCCCGCCTCAACTCAATCCACACCCAAACGCAACAACCACAAACGATCGTAGCAACCCCCGGTCCAATTTTTCGTTGTTAGTTACGCTATCGCTGCTCCTGGTGGCGTTTACTGGGCCCGCCTTTCGCCTGGTTGCGCCCTTTCGATTTTAATTTCTCTCTTCGCCTGAGCTCCTCCTGCCCCAGCTCGTCCAGATAAGCCCTTGCTCTCCGGTGCGCGTAGAAGCCCCCGTACCCCGCCCCTGCCATTGCAATCCCGGCCACCAGCGCCTGGTATCGCCCCCCTGTTTGACAATTTTCCAGATGCTTTTAGTTCGTCTTGGTTGAAGTGTCTCTTAGCTTGTGTGCTTGTGTCTGCTCTTCTTAACACTGAAAATGTTACACCGCACGTGATGCACGTCGTTTTGTCTTTCGTCGGTGGTATAGCATACCCCCAGAGCTCGATTTCGAACCCGACGGAAGAGTTTTATCTACATTCTCAAGACGGCACATTGTCGGAGTTCCCTTTCTCTCTGTCTCTCTCTCTTGTCTCTTTCCTTGTGTGTTTGTCTCTCTCTGTCTCTCTCTCTGTCTCTCTCTTATGTGCGTGTCTCTGTCTCCCTCCATCTCTCTCTTGAGACGGTTCCAGCGCCGATAAAATGCATGTTATGAACCTGGACGTAGCACACCACATCTCACCGATCGGCAAAGTCATGGCCATGCCCGTCGTCAGGCCGGCGCCGGCGTAGCCCAGCGCGTCTCGCTTGTCCCCGCGAGCTTTTCGGATCAACGCCTCTGTACCTGGCACGAAGTTATTCCCCCAGTCAATGCAGTATTTATGTGATTTGTTCGCCTGCTTGGAAATGCGATATGCGGAAAATAAAAGGGTTCCATGTGCCACGTAGAAATCTGGAGTGTGTATCATGCTACATACACGCCAAATACGGGGCCTTGGCGCTCGCGCACCCGTTGACCCCGCATCATGTCCAAATGGGCAACACACGGGCAGAGTTGGCGGTGGATGCGTGCAACCAGCTTCGTCTACACTTGTTGTGACGACAAGTGTGGAGACATCGTTCAACACATATTGTGGTAGTACCTCGCCTGGTATGTACAGCAGTAGTCTCAGAGATTGTAACGTTTACAGGCAGTATCTTCCAAAGAAGATGCGAGGTTTTTGGCTTACCTCTCAACAGAGGAGAAACTCACCGAAGAACGCCAGGGAGGCCAGGGCGTAGTTTGTGCCCATGCTCGCCGCGTAGAACGGCACGGAATGTCCGCGGTACGTCGCCAGCACGGTTCCGAAGACAGCGCCGCTCGTAGCTGTGTTGCGTACAGCAATGACACATACGGGGATGTGGGGGTACGGGCAGGGATGTGGGGGGCGGGCTACGGGTCTAAAAGAAGAGTCTTGAAATCATTTGTCTACTCTCCGCTGCTTATGATCGTCACGTTCGCGACTATGCAAATCAATGCGTATTTTGAAGAACAATACACTCCGCAAATGCGTGCATGTCCCGCTCCACTGGTCTATGTATGACGGGGGGAGATGTTGCAAAATGGCAACCGGTCTACAAATGCTAGACTGCAGACCGCACCGACGAAGAAAAACTCCGCGAGGAGACACCGATAAAGCCGTAATCTGCAGACTGCTGTATATACGTAGTTGTGAGGCACCGTAGTTTCAGATACCTAGACTATACCTTGGGTGACACTAGATATCACCCCCTCCCCCCAATGGATAGTTTCTCAAAGGCCAACAATTCCATGACGAACAAGATACATGAACAAAACGACATGTCTTCGGAGAGCGCTCGATGAGACGGTTCCCAACGCGGCCATTCTCGGCGCTGCTGCGGAGTAATCAAGCTTCCAAACTTTATTCACGGTGTGCGAAGTACTGCTTGTCACCGATGACTACCAAATACTGCTGTCTTGTCTCAGGTATCGACAGGCTGAACGGGGATTCAGCCAGGTGACGAAGTACAGGCAATCGGCCTAGACGGTGCAGAGTACAGCCGCTGCACAGATTTACGCCACCGCCCTGTCTCCAGTGTACCTTGTGTAGCATCGCAACACCGTTATCTGCAGCGGGGGGAGTACAGCACTCCCGTTGCAGTGCTGGTTCATGTGCAAACACCGGTGCTGTACTCTGTATCACACCGCTCGCTCACCAGGCAGTTTGGACCATTTGTCAAACACATGTAGGTCCAAGATGTCAAACAGAACAGAGAACTCCACAGCCGCAAAGCTTGAGAGGCGAGCCTTGGGAAACGAAAGAGAGAAACAGAGACGATGGACCACAAGATGACCCTCAGCGTCGAACAACAAGAACATTGTTGTAGCACACAATACGAAGGACAGACGAGACTAGCTGCCCTTCCTTGTAGACCACAACTGACTGCTGTATTGATAGCAGCACCCACCTCCGATGATGCTGTTCCGCGCTACCTCTCTCGCCCCAGCATCTGTTGCTGCTGGCTGCGAAGAAATTCGCTGGTCTGTCATCGGAAACAGGGTGTCATCTCGCTTGCCACCCTCCATCAGCAGCACGTATGTCTTGGTGTGTCCGCTGTGTGTCTGCAGCTTTGCCTCATCTCACGTCTCCCCCTCCCTATGTTGAATCATCCTCCCCCCCCGGCCGGGGCCCCCTACTGCGCATCCTACGTACGTCCTAGGAAGCCACTGCGCATCGTTATTTGATTTTAGTGTGAATCGGGGCCAAATGCCAGCAATGCAGACTTTTGGGGCACACAACTGGTTCTGCGCCCCGAAAGTTCCAGCAGCTTTGATTCTCGCAGATTTTTTTCATCANACGCCAGCAAACAAGATGTTCACCTGTCACATGCGTCTCAGGCACGTGAACAGCGGCCAGAAGAGGATATCTATACGGGTTCCTCCTGATCAGAATCCACACGGGTTCG